AACGCAAGGGAAATTTTAAAAAATAAACCTCCATAAACTCCTGAAAGTGCATCTTACATTCAGACAGTCAGTGCTATGAACGGTGCTCTTCGTTACAGTTGGATTTAAAAGTGACAGCCAGCCATGTGGCTGTGGCAGCTAAGCAATAGATTACGGTCATGTAAACTAAGACATGGAAAAGAAGCCCAGAGTGTAATGCCCGTTGGTGCATTTAGTGGAAACCTGAGGGACTCAAACTTGTGGAGGAACATCCTGGGAATTGCTGTCATGGGATGGCTGAATGTCAATTGAGTGGGCATCTCCGTAATTCAATCTGCCATTGCAGCTGTTCTGACTACAGAGCTGTAATCACTAAAGCACACAGAGACAGGTCTCCCTTGAACCAGATACCAAGGGCAAAAGGTCCTGGCAGTACCCCAGCGTCTGTGGCAGGGGGCATTTTACGACATCCGAGTGACACAGAAGGAAGCTCCTAACTCCCATCCTCTTGGCACACTAAACACAAATTCTGCCCTTCCTGCCAAGAAGCCTCTAGCTGATCCTTCTTCACCTGCTACACAATAGTCCACTATAAAAATAACCCTCTTGGAAGCTTTTGATCGGGGGCAAGAGAGTCCAGTAAAGGATACACTGCCTTAAAGGAGAAAACAAATTCTGCTCTGCAAAGTTGATGTATTTAGGATTATACAATCCTAGCTGATTGTTTATAGTGTTTCATGGTGCCCATGTCTCTTGTGCGAGCGCTGCTTTCTTACTACCCCTAAGTAACGGGGGCTGTGAACTAACACCCTGGATATTTAGTTTTTTTGGTTTGATCCGGCACTCCTTATTCAGGAAAGCTACCAATCATCTCTCAACGTGTTTGCCAGAGCAAGGAATTCGTCTAATACAGGGTCTTATTTTGGTGCATCACTAGGATAGACTTGTACTGTATATTCAGATATATAAAGTTGCTATATGTAGAACAAGAGGTGAATTTGTACATGAATGTATTCTGTAAGGCTGTACTGCCCAGAAACAGGGTTTGTCTATACAAACAATTCATTTATGGGAACCTGGGGTGTGAATCTTCCCTGCACTAATCTGTTGTGGACTAATTTGTTCAAGTACACTCTGCTGATTTGCATTAACAGTTTGTTAATATGCTTTGATCTAATCCTCTTTGAAATGGGACTAGATCAAAGCACATTAACAAATGGTTAACATGCACTAGCAAGGCCTACGCCAACAGTCAGTCTGTGGCAGACAAGTGCTGGGTAGAGTCACGCTACAGCTTGCTGCAAACCGTTTGTGGAGACAAACCCTACGCTTTTTCTGGCTAAACATGTTCAAGCTAATTCATTTTTCATTTAAAAAAAAAAAACAACCAAACAAAAACTATTTCACCAAGAAAATGCAATTGTAATTTTATCAAGTCTTATAAGAACAACATATGAATGGCCATATGGGGTCAAACCAATGGTCCATCTAGCCCAGTGCCAGAGGGAGTGAACAGAGCAATTGAGTGATCCATCCTCTGTCATCCAGTCCCAGCTTCTAGAAGTTGGAGGTCTATGGAAACCCAGAGCATGGGGATGCATCACTGACCATCTTGGCTAATAGCCACTGATGGACCTATCCTCCATGAACTTATCTAATTCTTTTTTGAGCCCAGTTATATTTTGGCTGTCACAACATTCCCTGAAATGAGTTCCACAGGTTGACTGTGCATTGTGTGAAGAAATACTTCCTCTTATTTGTTTGAAACCTACATCCTATTAATTTCATTGTGTTAAGTGAAGAGGTAAATAACACTTCCCTATTCACTTTCTCCACATCATGCATGATTTTATAGATCTCTATCATATCCCCTCTTAGTCATCTCTTTTCTATGCTGATTAGGCCCAGTCGTCTTAATCTCTCCTCCTCTGAAAGCCATTCCATACCCATACTCATTTTGTTGCCCTTCTTTGTACTTTTTCCAGTTCTAATATGTTTTTTGAGATAGGGCAATCAGAACTGCACATAGTATTCAAGTTGTGGGCATACCAGGGTTTATATAATGGCATTATGATATTTTCTGTCTTATCTATTCTTTTCCTAATGGTTCCAAACATTGTTCCATTTTTTGACTGCCATTGCATGTTGAGTATCAGAGGGGTAGCCATGTTAGTCTGGATCTGTAAAAAGCAACAGAGAGTCCTGTGGCACCTTTAAGACTAACAGATGTATTGGAGCATAAGCTTTCATGGGTGAATGTCACATGCATCCGACGAAGTGGGCATTCAACCACGAAAGCTTATGCTCCAGTACATCTGTTAGTCTTAAAGGTGCCACAGGACTCTCTGTTGCTTATTGCATGTTGAGTAGATGTTTTCAGAGAACTATCCGTGAGGACGCCAAGATCTCGCTCTTGAGTGGTAACAGCTAATTTAGACCCCATTATTTTGTATCTATGGTTGGGATTGTGTTTTCCAATGTGCATTACCTTTCATTTATCAACACTGCATTTCCATCTGCCATTTTCCTGCCCAGTTGTCCAGTTTTGTGAGATCCCTTTGTAGCTCTTCACATCAGCTTTAGACTTAACTATCTTGATTAATTTTGTATCACCTGCAAACTTTGCCATCTCACTGTTTACTCCTTGCATGTAGGTTGAACAGCACTGGTCCCAGTACAGATCCTTGTGGGACCCCACTATCTACCTCTTTCCATTGTGAAAATGGACCATGTATTCCTACTGTTTGCTTCCTTACTTTGCTTAAGAGCCTTTATTGAGGGACCTTGTCAAAGGCTTTCTGAAAGTCCAACTACCCTGTATCCACTCAATTGCCCTTGTCCGCATGTTTGTGAACACCCTCAAAGAATTCTAGTAGATTTGTAAAAGAAAATCCTGCCTCACCAAAGCCATGTTGATTCTCAATCCTCATAACAATCCTCATTCCATCCTCTGAAATAAGGACACACTTCAAGCCTTTATAGCATCAGTGCCTACATTAGACAGATTATTAAAGGAATATTAACAGAATGCTAGGTAAAGTTACACACAAATTATGTAGATACAGAAGAGCCAGATACTTAAACATTTGGCCCAAGATTTTTTGAAAGTTGGGGCCTTAAGTTAGGCTTTAAGTCCACATTAGGCATTTGGTAAGTCAGGCCACGTGTCTAGCTCTCATAAAGCTGAGTACAAAATCTCGATAATACAGGGCTCTTCAATCTACCAGACAAAGGTCTAACAAGATTCACTGGCTGGAAGTTGAAGCTAGACAAATTTAGACTGGAACTAAACTGTACATTTTGAGAGTAATTAACCACTGGATCAACTCACCAAGGGCTGTGGATTCTCCATCACTGGAAATTTTTACATCAAGAGTGGATTTTCCTTCTAAAAGATCTGCTCAATTTCAAAGAGGAATTAATGCAGGCGAGTTCTGTGGCCTCTGTCACACTAGGTCAGGGGTTCTTAAACTGCACTGCACTGCGACCCCCTTCTGACAACAAAAATCACTACGTGACCCCAGGAGGGGGGATCAAAGCCGAGCTCACCTGAGCCCTGTCGCCCCAGGTGGTGGGGCCAAAGGCCAAGGGTTTCAGCCCAGGCAGGGAGCCTGTAACCTGAGCCCCACCGCCCAGGGCTGAAGCCCTCGGGCTTCCGCTTTGGCCCCAGGCCCCAGCAAGTCTAAGACAGCCCTGGTGACCCCATTAAAACGGGGCTGCAACCCACTTCGGGATCCTGACCCATAGTTTGAGAACCGCTGCACTAGATGAGCAAAGTGGCCCCTTCTGACTTGAGACTCTTAAGAATCAAATGCACCTTCCATAGAAGATACTATCGCTCTCAATGTACCTAGTTACTCAAAAAACCCCACAAAAACAGGCCACTTACTTAGGTGTCTAACTTTAGGGCCCCGATAGAATCACAGCGATGTCAGGCTGGAAAGGACCTCAGGAGATCCTTCATTCCCTGCACTGGGGCAGGCTTAAGTCTACCTGCCCAGCCCAGCCCTGACAGATGTTTTTTCTAACCTGTTCTTAACTGTGTTTTAAACTGAAAACTGAGACTGTGTCAAGATGAGTTTTTGCCGGTGGTGCAGAAAGTAACATTACTGTTAACTGAAAAACACACCTTGTTTTTTCCCGCCACTGGTATATTTTCCATGACGTGGAGCTTGTACTGATCATAAAGGTTAATGTTCAATCCTTCTAGTCCTCTAGAGAGATGTTCCTTTGCCCAGCCTAGCTTCACATCAATATTACTCTATAGAAAAAGCTGTGTAAAATATCCTTAATTGGGAACTGATCTGGAAATCTTATTTTCCTTCACCTATAGGTGATAAATACAGTAAAACAAGTTACTGGTGTATTTTAAACAGTGGTGTTTATCCTTATTCTAACCCATAACCCATTTGCCTCAATGCTGCTCACTTACTGTGTAAATCTGATGCCCGTTTTTATGACTGCTTATGTAAGAAGGTATTTTGTACTGTTCCTGAATTTTTTTTTTTTTATTAAAGATAAACAAAATTGTTAATGAGAAGGTCTTATTTTTTGGTAACTTTGTGGAAGTTGTTCACATGATGAGATGATGACAGCATAGCTCCTGGCTGGAATTCACCTCCTTTACTTTTTTTGTTTTAAATTCCTAGAAACTATCAGACTAGTTGTCTAACTATTTTAGTCTCCTATCTCTGATTTTGGCCAGTGCCAGATATCAGAGAGGAAGGTACAAAACAAAAACACCCCATGATGGATAGTTATCCCACAATCTATACACAGAGGGAAATTATTCCTAACCTCCATGGTTGGCTTATTATCTGAAGCATGAGGGTTGATATCCATTATAAAAATTGTCTTATAATTTAACTATGGCAGTTTTATCCTGGGATATTTTTAACCCTTAACCACATCAACAATCCTGTAACGACATAACAGTTAAATCAGAAGGAATTACTGCTGTTGTAAAATGAAATTGGCCTGTGACATGGATGGGATCAAACAATAAACAAGCAGAAAGATGCTTCTCAGTCCAACAGCCTTTATTATTTTACAAGTGAAAATAACCTAAGACGTTTAAAAAGACCAACCACATCTTATAAAATATTCAGTTACATACACACCTTAGCAAAAAAGATGATTAACCAACACAGCCTAAAAAACTCAAAGGGCCATGAACAAAACTAGGCTTCAATATTTTTTCTTTAAATTTGCTTTTTTGTAATTTGCATCCCATCAACTAACTAACATTTTAACCATGAATTAAGGTGCTTAACTGACTAGGGACATGTAGCGATATCTGGAACTGAACATGTGACGCATTTTGCAAGCATGCTGTGCACTTGCAAAGTCTGGGCTGGATTCTGATCTCTGATGCACAGGGACCGCATCACCAGAGAATCCCTAGGATCTGCTGGCAGAGACACAGCAGCAGTATTTGTAATTTTTTGGGACACTGAGTGATGCTTGACAGGCATGAGACACCAGGCTCTGGCCCAGTTTTGGGCTCTCAAAGGGCACACACTTGGCCCCTCTGCAAAGAGCCATTTCACTAATGGTGAACTCCTCATGTTGGGCTAACATGATGCAAGGTCTTTTCACTTACCAGGGACAACCACAGCTTCCAATTCGTCTTATAAAATACAGACTGCTCCTGAAACACAGAGTGATCTCCATCCCTTGTTAGCAAGCCAGTCTCAAGTCACTGAAATAACTGGGTGACATGGTCAGAGCAAAACTGTACATTGGGAGCAGTACCAATGGAGAGAGAAGTGAATGAAAGATCTGTAAACAAGTCACAAGAATGCAGCGATAGAAATGGCTGGATTCCCGATTGCAGAGCACATGTGGATTCCCTGTCAGAGCTCAGAGGCATGAGTTTGCTTTGGTCAAATACAAGAATAAAAAGCAGCTTTTTTGTTTTGTTTTGTACTTAAACGCATTCTCTTCTAAATCCCCGGTCAACAAGCCCACTGCCACCTGCTCCTGGGCAGGTATCAATCGGGATGAACACAAGGCCAAACAAAAATATCCTTTATGCCATCAATAACAAACAGAGCAGGTCAGGTGAGAGTCACAGTCAGCATCCTGAGGTGCGTGGAATCAGGGGAACAAAACCTCAGGCGACACCAGACCCCTCTCTCGCGCTCTCACACACACACCTAGGCTTCAGCGCCTATAGAATAAGGCTCATTTCGGCTTTCACCAAGCAACGCAAGTTACTAATGGTTCCTCTCTAGAACTAACGTATTCAACCAGTTTCAAAGTCAACCCACATTTCAGATAGCAATAAGAGATATCTAAAGGGTGCAACACCACCACCACCACACTGAGGTCACGAGTCTACAGGTAGAGGGTTTTTAATGCATCTCAGGCCAAATTTACCAACTAGTTAAGCAGGTGCAACTCTACTGCATAGAAAGCAATGATATACTAATTTCTTAATTTGCAATTACTGTACTCTGGATCAGATCGATCAGAGCTCCAAGTCTGCCTCACCACTGAGCTCCTGCGAGGCCGCAGTTTACAATCTGTGTCTCCTGTGGTGTGGGTACGGAAAACCAACCTGTCCTGCTACAGGTGGATCTGACCCAAGCTTCTCAATCTTAATGAAAACCCTGGATCTTTGGGCAAGTTCAGATCTTCATTTAGAATGTTGCAGCTGAGGTCCATTAACAACCTTCTCCAATTACAGCCTTAGAAGAAAAGTTACTTAACAGGGGATTCATGTGAATTTCAATTTTAAACCTTTTTTAATAAAAGTCAATTAAACAAACCAACCTCAAGATCACCAGAAAGAATTTTTTATGCATGATGCAGACAAGGTAATCTTAGTTAATTAGGGGCCCTGATGCCTGAATTTAGAAGAGGGGATTCCAGGTTTAACTAGAAACTACTAACCCGTCACACGAGCATTTTACAGATGGGATCTGGAGCCAGCTACATGACACAAGTTCAGGCATTTTTAGAGCCCAGCTTCTGACCACACGTCTGTCAAAATACACATGGCAAAACAACAACGTGGAGGCACAATTCAGTCTCTGGAAGCTACGTTAACCATAGGGCAGGGCAAAACCAAACCAAACCAATCAGTAATTAATCTGGACTAATACTAAACTCTTCTGCTAATGGACTTGATATTTTTAAATGTAGAAAAAAAATCCCACACATACAGGCACAGAAAGAGACATAAAACAGAGCCCCTGCCATAAAGAACAGTGGGGTGAAGCTAAATTCCCAGTACATTAGAAGGGACCAGGCGAAACCATGTAATTACAGTCTCAAGGTTCAGCGGGCCCCCTCCAAAAGGCAAAACCAATCCGAACTCAGACAGGCACGTTCTCTTTCAAAGCACCGAGTGATCCCACTACTCAGTGAAGACTGGAAAGGAGCCTTGCTGTCACTGAGGCTGCTCCGTAGCCAACCAGTTCGTTGGCCCTTCCCCGGTCCCCTTCAGTCTATGGTCACTACACCAGAGCCACATCAAATAGTGCAAGTCACAGAAAACCCTCTTTTCCTCCCTCTCTGGTGGGTGTCCGATGCAAAGCACGTCCACCCCATCCTCCTACAGCCAAGAACTGCACCTCTTGTCCCCCATTAACGAGACCCCACTGCCCCCACCTGCACCAGATAAAAAGCAGGACAGCTAGCTACGTATCCATTCAGCCATCTGGATTCCGCATGACGACCGCTACTGCTTCTCCGAGTCACTTTGAGAGCTTAAGAGAAAGTTGTCACCATTTTAAGGGCTGGGATCCAAATTCAATCCATATTGCTCCCGACATGAACAGACTACTCCAGTTTACTAAAGCCGGCTCCCTGATCCCCCCCACAAACATATATTTTAAAACACAGATCTCTCTATTTTAAAGGGAGTTTTAAAAGCTCTAGACATTGACTGATCCTTGGGGGAGGAGGGAGAAAGGAAAGGTGAATTGGTTTCAAGCCTCACTAAATACAAAGGACGCTGTTGTTCTGTGTGGCTCAGCACGAGGTTTGGCTTTGCTCCCCGGTCTGATTTTAGCCTTCTCTCACGTGCTCAGTCTCATCTTTTCAGACCCAGGTGCTGCTTCCTGCCGGTTCACTTGCAGGGCTGGTGGATGTGCTGATTGCCCCACAACATCGCATCAAACTTCTCCAGGCAGGGCTGCGGTTTCTGGTGAGCCACCTGGACAGCGGCTGGAGGGAAGTCTTTGTCACCCTAGAAATAATGAGTAGGGGCTAAATCGGACAGACCTTGGAAAATAAACAAGGAAGAGCAGTGACACACTCAGCAGCAGCTGGTGGGCAAAGAGCTCCCCTCCCCTCCCCACCTCTTAACACAGGCCTGGTTCAGTTTGTCGAATGGCGGGTGGGGAGTGTTGGATTTTGGGAATTGGGGAGGACGTTATAAAATGAATAGGCAGCAGGTTTAAAACAGACAAAGGAAGTATTTTTTCACACAACTCTTTGGATGTTGTGAAGGCCAAGACTATAACAGGGTTCAATAAAGAACTAGATAACCTCATGGAGGATAGGTCCATCAATGGCTATTAGCCAGGCTGGGCAGGGATGGTGTCCCTAGGCTCTGTTTGCCAGAACCTGGGAATGGGCGACAGGGGATGGATCACTTGATGATTCCCTGTGCTGTTCATTCCCTCGGGGCACGTGGCATTGGCCACTGTCGGAAGACAGGATACTGGGCTAGATGGACCTTTGGTCTGACCCAATCTGGCCGCTCTTATGTTTGTCGGCCACTAGCAGAAGGATGGTCCAGTGGTTTGGGCACTAGATTAGGATGTAGGAGGCCCAGGTTTAATTCCCTGCACAGACTTTCTATGGGACCTTGGGCAAGCCACCTAGCCTCTCTGTGCCTCGGTTCCCCCAGCTGTACAATGGGGAATAACAACCCTGCCCTGCCTCCCAGGGGGGTTGTGAGGATAAATACATGAGTGACTGGGAAGCGCTTAGAGATCTACTGGCGACAAACACTCTACAAGAGGAATTTTTATCATTACTACTAGTTTTTATTGTTATTAGCCGCTCTACAGAGGTGTTTGTCTCCTCTTAAAGCTACATTTGATTGATTTAATACAGCAATTTTGAGCCCTTTGTGTACCAGGAACGCCCCTCCCTGCCCAATCTAGCCAGGACCATCATTCCAGTTAGCAATATGGGAAGGACAACATGGTAGGAATCCTGCTTGCAACTGGCCCTTGCCTCCCCCTGGGAAGTTAGCCCAGGTCAGGAACTCCTGAGCCAATACATGCAGGGGACCAGAAGAGAGGCTCTGAAATACACACAATTCTGTCTGGTTGTTCCTACAAGAGGTACAGGTCCGTGGAGTGAAACGGATCCCCACAAAACACACTGAGAAAGCTAAGGGCATGAACAGCAATAGAATGCTACATTTAATGCTAGGCAACAAGACACACTGTCAGACAGCCTTACCCTTGTTATGGCTCCTGATATAATGAGAGTTTGCTTTGGAGAGCTGAAAGAGAATAAGCTATTAGAGAACAGTCATTTACTACAGTGCGCTCAATGCGGAGACGATGGGTGACCATAAAACAAAATATGTAAAAGAGGAGCAGTGTGGCCTATAGGACAGAGCCCTGGACTGGGACTTAGGAGATGTGGTTTCTAGTTCCAGCTCTGCCATTGGCTTCCCAGGTGACCTTGGGCAAGTCACGTCACACTGTACACCATCTGTAAAATGGGGATAATGATACTTTACAAAGGAGGTAAGAGCTAGGTATTATTAAACATGGGAGCTTTCCCCTTGCTCGTTAAGACAGAAAAACTTGTTAAAACTTACCTGATTCTGGCAACAGTGTATTAAAATCTCAAGTCACCAGACATACACAGAATTTTAAGTTACAGATAAAGCATTGCTGGAAGATATTTTTTACTTTAATCATCCAGCAAGATCTTGTGTCAAGGGTCTATTTCTCCTGCAAACAGTGGAGAGGTCACCAACACCTAAGACACAGAAGGGCAGCTAGCTGTCTCTCCCAACACTGATTTAGGCAGCTGCCATGCCAACAAGTGGTGCAAAATCTTAAAATCTTGCCTTGGCAAGTAGAAGCCTTCAGTCCTCAACAGAGAGCGACTTTCGGCAGGATTTGGTGTTGTTGCCAGTGCAGTACAATGCAAATCTGCAGATTGTGGGAACTGAAACTACCACTTCCCTTCTTGCTGCTTTGTTTTTGGTTTAATTGTCTAAAACAAGGTATTGAACAGCTATTTATTTTCTTGCTAGTTGTGTTTTGTTCGTTAACAAAGTCCCAGTTTTGCAGGGCGCAAAAGTGCCAGGTGCTATACGCAGGTTGGGCCTACTGTTTCTGACAACGGGAGAGTTAGGGGGAGATCTGAATTTTTAAGAAGGGAGGAAAAACCCAAGCCACCTCACGTGCAAAGCAGTCAGATGGGCATCAGTTAACTAACTGAAGTCTTGGGTATTTCACTGTTAAAGAAACATGTTGCTGAGTTTTTTCTCCTAGTTCCCTCCTGTTTCACCATTTGCCTGATCCAAAGCTCACTGAAGTTAATGGGAGTCTCTCTGTTGACTTCAATGAGCCTTGGATGAAGATCTGTATGAATCTCTGACATACCCAACAGTGCCGGGGTAAAACCCCAGGAGACACCCAGAACCACAAGCTGTACCAATTTTTAAGTTTTACTGAATAAAACATTGTGGCTATCGATTACCTGTTCCTCAGCTGTTCTCCCTGCCTTGATAGTGGAGCAGCAGGTTGCTCCATAACTACAGAAATGCTATTTTGCACCTTTCCAGCCCTGCTCTACTTCAGCAGCAAGCATTCCCACACCCCATACAGCACAGGCGGGAGTTCGTGAGGAAGGGGAACGTTTCCATGAGTGCCTAAGACACCCACGCGCAATGAGCCTAAGGCCCATTTTCAAAAGCAACTTTGGCACCTGCCTAGCGTACGGACGAAGCCTCGACCGTTTTCAGACGTGACTAGAGATTTTGGGTGCCCCATTGGAAAGCAGGTCAAGGGACCGTTTTTTGAGAAAGACGCCCACCTTCTGAAAGTCAGGCCCCTTTAAGGTGTCTCATGCCTGGCACTGAAAAACTACAACTACCCAAGTCACTTTTGAAAATCTTGGCCGAAATCAAGGGAAATTACGCTTTTAAGTCACTTGGAATTTGGGTAAAGTTTTCAGACATGCCCAAAATGATTAGCGCCCAACCATATGAGTAGGCCCCACAGCCCCTCCATACGTCAGCAGGAGGGATCTCAGACCCTCGGGTCCTCACAGCAGAGTTCCAGAGAGGAGGAGGAGGAGTTAGAGAGACTTGCAAACCGACATTAACCCCAGACAACCTTCAATTTCAATTCACCGAAGCATCACCCACCCCAGTTACAAGGCAGGGGAAAACACTCCTCTTTCTGCTTCTACCTGGAGCAAGGTAACCTATGTACATGATGACTGGTCTGTACAGCCATCACTCACTCTGATTTAACGAGCACAGCTGGTCTATGCAACTTTGAGATTCCCACACCTCACTCCCCCCCGCACCCCACCAACCACTTTAAAATCTGGTTAGTCCTTACTCTCCACCCTATATATGTTTGCAAACTGCCCAGCGCAGGCGGGCCCTGATCCCAACGCAGACAGACCCTGGCCGCTGCCATTACACACGTTTAAACATTATCTAAGTCCTGCCAGCAGAGCCTGGCATGGAAGAGTTGGTGGTTTTGTGGGAAGAGTTTGTGAAGGCTCCCAAGGACCCGCATGCAGCGTTCAGTCGGGCAGAAGCAATCTCTACAGTGGTGTCCAGGCTGCAAGGGAGAAGACAGAAGTTAAAAAACAGCCTCTCTCAGAATGACTAAACACAGCTAACAGCAAGAGCGGGCTATGCAGCTTCTGCCAGGAGCCGTGCAGGGCTCCTTTGAAGAGGTTAAGACAACTCAGCGACAGCCCACTTTCTTCAGCGTAGCTGAACGTTCCCAGAGATGTCTCAGGTGTCAAGAACAGATAAGCTCAACACCCCCAAACCTAACCACAGGCAGCAGGTTATCTGGTCGCACGGAGCAGTGCTGCACAAGGGCCCGATTTCACACGCTCTTTAGAAGGGGTTGCAAGAGGGCTGGCAAATAACAAGATATTTTATAATTTATCACCATGTCTTCGGTGCCGGATGCCTCTGACATGGCTCCAAGGTAACCCTATGAACATGAGAGCGCCATGTGGCTGCGATGCCTGAGCAAGCTGAGACAGACAGACAGCTCCAGCATCAGACTGGAGGTTGTTTTAAAGCATACTGCAGATAGAGAGAGAGAGATCTCCCTATCTACCAACAATGAGACCCGAAACAGCCTTCAAACCCCAGCTGCTCAGCCCAGCACCCTATTCAGGGCACTGCATGGCTGAACATTGCACCGTCCTGCCAAGGAGCACCCCGAAGACTGAGCAATGAGATGTATTTGCCCCTTTACATTTGGTCATAACCAGAGCCACTTCCACCAGTCCCCGTGTCAGAGCCATTGTTCTTCTGACCAAAGAGGACTGGACGAGATGCGCCCTTTGAAACTCACCCATACAACGAGGCCTTCATTTGACCCACTTCTGCCTTCTCGCCGAGGACTGGGACTGGGCCTGAAGATGCTGACTCTGGAGAGCTCCCAGCCGCTCCTAGCCTAGAGCAGGGAAAGAGCTGTGCTTTGCAATCCAGGCTCCTGCATCAATGTGGCGCAGGGAACGCCCCAGTGTCCCCTCCGCAGCTCCAGGGACTGGCATGGGGGATAGAAACGGTGCTGTGAGGCTTTTGTTTCTTTCTTCCAGCAGGGCCATTGTCTGAGCTGCCGCACAGTCTTAAACCTGTTGCGCGCCAGCAACGCCATGTATTTCCCTCCAGTCATCCAAGAATTGTTTGGCAGGGATCAATACACATGGGTGTGGGCGTGGATACACAAACAGGATGTGATTAAGCAGGATGCCTCAGGTCTGTAACAATTCACCAGGCTTCCTGGCTAACCCCTTGGCTCTCACACCAATGTTTTGGAGGGCAGGGGGCGTACGCCTGCCAAGCAGAAGTGGTGATCCCCCGCTTGCAACATTAATTCATTTTATATCACTAATAAAAAGGATTCTTTCCCCGTAAAGTCCCACAGACGTGTGTCTGGTATGTGGGTCATGGCCTAAGCCGTCCACTGCAATAATTCTGCAGTGACCAGCAGCTGAAATGGAAACATTTCACTCTCTTCCTGTGAGGGGAAGCGATTTGAAGCCAGAATATAGATGAAATGCACAGATTAGGGCAGTGGTTTTCAGCGTGTGCTCTGTCCGCAGACTGTGTCTAGAGTCCCGCGAAAGACAGACTGAAAACAGACTGGATGGAATTCAACGATATACACTGCGCAGACAATAGATTTCCCAAGCTGTCTGCAAACGAAAAGGAGGTTGAAAACCACCGGAGCAGGGTTTCTAGAACATTCCCATGTGACAATTTGCTCTTCACCAGATCAGGCATTCAGGTCAGGCACAGATTGGAATCCAACCCATCCATGGTCTCTGTGGGATGAATGTGGGGGAGGGGTTTCAGTCCAGCCCCCCATTGGGATAGGGGCCCACACCAGAAATGGCACTAACAGCTGGCCCCTTTACTGGCAGGCTCAGCAGAGGCTGAAGATAAATGCTGAGATCTGAAGGCCAAAGTGGGCCATTTATGATGTGACCTCTGGGGAATACAGGCCTCCCCTGGGCCATAGAGAGGCCGAATCCTGCTACGTGCCCAGCACGCTCAATTCCTATGGACTTTGACAAGAGTTGAGGTCACCATTCACCTTGCAGGATAAGGTCCTTCCAGGACCATGGAGACGAAATGTCCCTCTCCCCCTCTGGGTGCAGGTTGAGGCGTTTGCAGGGGAAGCACATGCCGCTGCTGGGCCTTGTTCTTTTCTGTTCCACTGCCAGGATTTTGCTTGATGCAGCCCGGAGTTCGCTTTGAAATGAAAGCGGCATTAGCCCTGGCTCAGCGTTTTCTGCACTCTTACAACGCAGAGCTGTCTTCGTGCTAAGTGAAATCATTATCCAGAGCCACATAACCGGGACCATGCCACTAGCCACACAGGGACAGCCTGCCTACCTGCAGAAGATCTGAATTCCCAGGGCAGTCACCAACTCAGATCCCCCGATCAGCGTGTTAGGAGAACATTACAATACCAGACAATGGTCTGTAAGCAGCAATTACGTCGCGCTGCTACAAGACGTCATTAGAAACAAGGCAGACACTTGGATTGCCTTTTGCTCTCGCAAACACAGACTGTTTGCTGTTCTGAGTAGAGTGTGTCTTAATTAGGGGAACCCATCGGGCTTATCAGACTGTGTAACAAATGCAAGCGACCGGATGGTCTTTTATGCTCAACAGAGCATTAGCAAGCAAATGCAATGCCTGCTAAAACAAGCAAAGAGGGGCACAAAAAACAGTGACAGGCAGCTACTTTTAAAACTTGCCACAAACTCAGA